CGGCGTCAGAAACATGCTATCCGTTTAATCTGCTTTGCAAATCGCTTTTCTCACGCAAAACATTATTTTATTGAAATGAGAATTTTAAATATATACGAGCTAAATATATACGTATATATAAAATATATATGTTTTATGCTTTGTATACATGTGGAAAAATGGCTTGTCTCAATCTGTCTTCAAAGATATTTTTACTCCGAAACCCATTAACAAACACAATTTGAGAAATACTGATTTTTTAAATGAAACTTTCTGTCAAACGAACTTCAATCAATTTTGTATTGCCTGTCGGGCACCACACCTTTGGAATAAAAGTTTTGCCCAATTTTGATTTTGAACTACCCATTACTTTTCGTTTTTTTAAAAGTAAATTAAAAACCCTAATTTTTTCATTAGAAGATGTATTATGTTATTATTAATAATATAAATTAATAACTTTGCCTGTTCTTATCTATATTTGTAAAAAGTTTATTTTTACTTATTTTGTTAATTTTATATTCTTTACTTAACGTATACGTTTATATAAAATATTGGTGAGTAGATCCGCGTGATCTCTCTTTGGATTATAAAATATATATTTGGATTATATATATATATGAAATTTGTAAAAATTTGATACTGTTAATGCTTGTTTGAACTTATTTAAGGTTCTGACGACAAGATCCTTTGATCTTCTTTCATATTTGTGAAAGTTTATTATTATTATCATTATTTTTTTTTTTTTTTTTTTTTTTTTTGGCAATATATAGTTGTAATACGACCAACAAATGTAAAATTAAAAAAAAAAAAAAAAAAAAGAAAGTTAAGTGTAGAAGAAAGTTTGCATGTAAAATCTTTTTTCTATAAGAAAGAAAATCTCTTTAATGCGTGTTAAACGCGCAGACTTAACTAATTACTAAAGCACATTAAGTATAGTATTAAGTATTTAGTATACACATTAAGTATATAAAGTATATATAGTATACACATTAAGTATGTAAAGTATATATAGTATACACATTAAGTATATAAAGTATCCCAGCCGGAACAACTCAGAAAATAGTTACGCTTGGTTTCTGTTGCGTTTTTAAAACCTTCTAAAACAAAAAGAATAACACGTATCAAAAATAGTTTTTATTCCGTGAAATTAACTATTACTATTTACCATAAATACCAGTTAAAATATTAATGGTTTCACCGTTATGGAAACGTAGTATTATATTGTAATAACTTTCCGTAAGTAAAGTGAAACCACTGATAAAAACTTGACTTTTAAAATTTGACTTTTAAAACCTCAAAAAACACGTGTTAAACTCTAGTAAAACTGCCCGTAATATACACGTGCTTTTGGTTTACGCCTAGATCGGTTTTATTTCCGAAAAAGAAACTAGATGTGCCGGTAGGGATATATAGTATACACATTAAGTATATAAAGTATATATAGTATACACATTAAGTATATAAAGTATATATAGTATACATATTAAGTATATATCTCTATTATGATAAAAAACCTTTTAACAGTGTTTTCATGTTTTTAGAAAATTTAAACAGCTTTTAAAAAATTATCTGTCTTTCGTTTGTTATAGTATGTAATACCTTTATATATGTTATGCATATAATATCCATAGGCCTATAAAATGTTTTACTTTTTATTCTAAACTAGCAGTAAGCAACCCGTAATACGCGTTGCTAGTAAATAAAATTAAAAAAAAAACCGCGTATAGAAAAGCCTTTAAAATAGAAGAGCCAAGAAAATGACGTAATTCGACTAAAAATATTAAATTAGCGTATTAATATTATCAGAAAATTAGAAAAGATTAAAAAAAAACAAGCGTGTCAAGAAAAAGATTTGAACCCACACGAAGCTCCTCAACCATTTTGGCGAATTTTATCATTTTAAAATTTTTTAAATAGCCAAAACTTATTAAACTTTATAAATCAGCAAATAAATGCTATAAATCAAAATTAAGGAGATATTTCCGCGATGAAGTTTTCAAGTAAAAGTAAATCTGTAAAATTTGATATAATTTACAGAATTTGAAGTTTACATATTAGGTATTTGCACAGACTTTAGTTCATATAGATAAAACATTAATCATTACGGATTGTAATTCCAAAGAAATGTATATATAGTATATATAGTATATATAGAATATAGCATTGTAAAATAAAAGATATTTTTATTTAATAAGCTTTGTAAAATAAAAGCTTTGTAAAATAAAAGATATTTTTGTTTTATTTACACTTTACCAAGTTAACAAAACACAACAATTTTCAATAGTTTTTAATTGTATGACTATATTGAACAAATACGTCATCTGATTAATCTAAAAAAACTAATCGAAAGAAAAAAAAGGAAAAAAATACACCACATGTATTAACTGGTAATCAATTTATTTATACATGATGACAAAACAGAATATTTAAAAAAAGTTTAATTTACAAAAGAAATTTAACATCAATTAACAATTGGTAGATTAATCACCGACAAAAATACTAAATAAGGTCAACTTTAGTTTCTATAAAATTAATATCCTGTCAATTCCAATGCTTCACCTATAAAACAGAACATGTTTCATTAAGTAAAACATTAAAAAATTATACTTTAGTAACTTTAAAAACAGATAAAAAATTAAAAAATACATACTAATTACTAATAATTATATCATTTATTATAATGATAAAAGAAGATTCTATGATATTTCAGAAATTTATAAAAGTTAAATAGGAAATATATAAAACTTAGAGCTTGCGCATCAATAATGCATCGTGCATTATTAGCTAAAAGCTCTTCTAGTATTTATTATACGGAGTATAATACTATTTTAATGGTTTTCTAAATTCTGTCGCACTCGGTTTAGAATGTTAAACGGGAGCGTGGCAAAATAGCTGTAAAAGTTTAAACTTCCTTATTACCTTAGTGTTAGGTATTTTTAACTTTTTATTATTTTAAAAAAAATATAAATTTAATGAAATGGTTTATTTTAATTATAAAATTGAAATTTTCAATTATGTTCATAATAAAAACATATTTTTTAAAGCCCCTTACTATTTTAGAAAAAGTTAAGGTCGCCGCGTGGCAAATTCAATTCCAATTTTTAATTTTTGTTGTTTAAAATGCAAAACAAAACAATTTTATTTCTTTAAAAACAAACTTCTTTCCTCAAAAGTGTTTTATTTTATATTTTAGAAAAATCGAAAAGATTAAATTAAAAAAAAAAAAATTAAAAAAAAACGCCAGTGGTAGGAATCGAATCATGGCTTTCGCATTAGTAACTCGGCATACTAACCACTCGGCTTCACAGATATATTTTCCAACGAAAGTTTTAAAACTATTTTAAAAATATAAGACTTTATAAAACGGAAATAAGTGTTACAGATCAAAGATCTTAAGAAGATGTTGCCACAATTCTATTTTTAAGTGAAAGTAAAACTTTAAAATTTGATATTTCTTTTAGTATGTTTTAACATTACATAATTCAAAGTTAACATAAATTAGATATTTGCATACACTTTCGTTAACTTTTCTAATAAATAAAAAGTGCTAAAACTCTTTTTCGCTATTTTTTGGTTGCAATGGCTGCAAAGAATACCGTGTCAAACACGCTCGAATGAGCATTGACATGTTTCTTATTATATTATAATATGAAATATAATATAGGAAAAACGTTTTAAAAAGTGGATTTTTGTTGATGGTTTACATTCTAAATTACTATATTCCGAATATACTCTATGTAGTTTACAATTATATAGATTATATTCTTTGTTAAGACGTCCATAATTAACTTTGATCACTCAATTTACTATAAGATTGCTTTTAATTGGGCTAAAAACATAAATTTGGTATCAATGTGCAGCATTTGATGGCCTCTTTTATCTAAACATACTTTAAAGTCAAATTTTTGATTTAAATTTTTTATTCAACTGCGTATGTATATATATATATATATATATATATATATATATATATATATATATATATATATATATATATATATATATATATATATATATATATATATATATTTATATTTATATATATGCAGGTTTTAGGAGTGGAACCATGGGGTAGCTTCCCCTCCCCTTGAGTCTTTTTTTTAGAAATATTCTTTTGTAAATTGACTATTGTACAGAATTGGAATTCTATACTGACGAATGAAATTGACAATTTTATGTAATTATACGTATATGAACTTAATTATTACACTAAAGTACAAAAAATTCAAAAATAAATGAAAATATGGGAACCTTTTTTTTTTTATTTTAAACCTTTTTTAGCTCCCTTCTTGGCGAGTGACAAAACCCGCCCTGTATGTATGTGTGTAACTTTTTTTCGCTTAATGTTTAAAAACTTTTTTTTTTAATTATTTTTACAAAGTCTCTGTTTTGAATTTATTTTTTACTGTTTGCTTTATTTTACTATATTGTAAATAGTACTTTTTTGTGTGTGAAAAATATTGAGTGACTAATTGAGTTTTCATTGCATTGATAAAAGTTATAGCAGCACTTCCCAGATAGCACAAATTCTTTGGCCATGATTGGGCAATTATTGGCTACTATATTGGGCATATATTGGCCGCAAACATTGGGCAAATATTGGGGAGCGCATATTGGGCCTTATTGGGCAAATATTGGCCAATTGCTGGATAAATCATGGCTCCAATATTGGGCCATTATTGGTTTTGATTGGCTTTTCATGGACCAACATTGACCATTAATGGGTCGATGTAGGTTAATACTGGCCCAACAATTGGGCAATTCAAGCCCAATATCGGCCAATACAAGCCTAATATTGGCTATTCTTGGCACTTTATATATTCACACATTTTTTTTTTGGCAACAAGAGCTTAGAATTGTCACTTCCAGGCTAACAAACTTGTAATACATAGAATAACTGAATTTCTTTTTAAAATAAAAGGAATGTCGATTTGTTTGAAATAAAATTCAAAAAACATAAGTCATATAAAAGAAATTTATTCGATAAACATTCTTAACCAGCATCCAATAAAATAACAATGTAAAAAAGAAAATAAATATATTATAAAAAACACTTCATTACATTTAATATAAAAGTATAATGTTTTCTAAAGAACTTTCCTCTACGCCTCTCCTAGCGATTTTTTCGAGGCCATCCGTGTCAATTGAACTTGATAGCCATTTTGGCAGCATCTTGTCCGGTTGACTAATCGTCGCTTAGGGATAGTTTTCTTACTGCACCTGCATAAACAAATATCACTAGTAAACAGAGATAAACAGAAAATAGAGCAAATAAAAATCTATCTATCAAAATAAAACTTTAATCCACCATCACTGAACACAGATCAGCTGTGTATACATAAGGGTTTTAATCTGGTGTTAAAATGAGAGTGTCATTGTAAATTTTAGTTTAAACTGAAAGGACATCTGAGATGTTTAGAAATATGACACTTTAATTTTAAAACCAGAGTAAAACCCTAATGTGTAGGGCATAGTTGTATCCAAGATCTGGATCCAATTACCTAGGTACCAGTATGCTAATTTTGAGATCTGGACCCAGATCTATTTTGTTCTGATATTCAGTTCCACAATATTTTTACCGATACCAATTATACACAATATTTTACCAAAAAAAATTCCTCATATAAAGGGTCTAACCCTTTTCCTGCTTCTAAAGGCAAGGAAAAGTCACTTAATTTAATGGTCAGCACGTGAAAAATTAAGAAGGAAAAGTCTAATACTCTGATTAACAACAACAACTCTGCATTTATATTCTTATAATATTCAATATTCGTATATAAAAATAAAGAGGCCAATCTTTGTGATTAGGAATTGGTAACTTTTTCATTTTTGACCATTGATTATCACCAATTTCCAGAGGCCAATAACATGTAGCTGATTCTTGTAACAACCAGCAATCAGGAACCACTGCCACTCCATCCTCAAATTCAACTAAATAATACATTACTAGCTGAAAGAAAAAGATAAACATAAAAATCAGTAATATCAAATACTATTACTGATATGCAAATGAGCGCTAATACAAAAATTTAACAAAAAAAAAAAAAAAAATTCCAGTTTATTATTTATGTATTTGAGGCTTTATAGACAGAGGAATACAAACAAATTTGGACTTGCATGGTAGTATAATACATTTTTTCTGTATTTCATCTGTTGTGGCAGATTTATATGACATGATAACTTAGAGACCTTTACTATACCAAAACCTTCGAAAGAATTTGGAGGATATCTAAAAAAAGGTTTAATAGTAAGAAATTTTTCATAAACAATAAAATGCCTATTATCACCATGAAATTTTAATATGTTACGAATCAAACAAAAGTCATTTTTTATTTTTATGCAATATTTCCTTTTGAAGTAGAGTAAAAAATTCCATTTAAAGTAATTTCTTGATACTGTAGACACTCTGTTTGTGCTCTTAAAACAATAGGACCATTTTCAAGCAGCTTCCTGGGAATGCCTTCCTTCATACATTTATCAGAGTTTCTTTTAATTGATCCATTTCTTTCAGATATACGCTGGATAACCTGTTGAGGTGGTAAATAAGGTTTACGTATTAAATGCTTTAAATGCCCTAGAAAATTTTCAAACAGAAATGCAGAGTAATTATAAACAGATCCAAATCTTTTTACATCACTTGCAATGTGTACTGGCTAAACAGTGTATCCCAACAAAAAACAAAAGAAAATTGTTGTATAGAGATTTCGAAAGATGTCCTTTTAGTGCAACAATGCCACTGTATAATAAAAATTGACTGAACTCCACTGCTTTCCAACGCTCTATGTCACTTAAAGGCCGACATTATTTAGAAAACTCACAATGAATAAATTTTCTAAACTCTATTAATTTCTCTGAAATGCCATTAATAGATGCCTTTCCTAATCTTATTCAATCACTAAGAGGGCTTTTTATTAAAAACATCAAAATCCTTTTCATTACTCTTAGACACACTAGGTGCATAAAATCAAGTGGAAACTTTACCATTACCATTCCAATAGACAATTTTTCAAGCGGACTATCTCTAAAAATGCTCTACTTAGAACTGATCATTCTTTTAATTTCATTAAAAGAATGATCACTTTTAAGTAGAGCATTAGTTTTAAGAAATGTAACCTTACTGTGCCATTCCCCTTTTTGGATACACTTATCACAACTGTAATATCCAGTATGTCCTTTAGTTTATTTTATATATACCCTTGCAGGAGTACCACATACAAAGCAGGATATACCAATGTTTTTTGAGTATTTTTTACCATCTACATCAATTTTAACAAGACCTTTTTCCATTTCTAACATTTCTTCAATGAAATCTTTCAAATATTAATTTAAGTTAACTGGTTTACTTTGACCGCAAAACAAGCCAATCAAAAATTGTTTACTTGAAAATGGGATTGATACTCTTGCTAGAATCAGCCAAAATTGTTGAGTACTTGACTTCTGTAAAAGTAATCCATCAATATTAATTTGTAGAGAAAGTGATAGAGTTTCAAAGCAAAGACTTATAGAAAAATAAGGCAAATGAATTGTGTTGCAATGAATTAACAACACCAAAGTGATAATAGGAGCCCTCTTCAATTGTTTTGACAGTTCCTGCTCGAGGTGTTTTTAGTAACATTCGCAGATCTTTTGGAAGTGATGGGTGCAACACTCTAAGTATATCCAAAAGTGAAGATAATGCAACCATAGGAAGAGAAAATGATGCTGCCCACATTTCCAAATAAAATAATAGCTCTTTTTTTTTCATTTTCAATATCAGGTTCATTTTCCTCACTGCTATCATCCAACAATGACTCTACATCAATGGATTCAATTGTATCCTGCTTCATAAACATTTCCCAACTATTTGTTACAATTTCGTCATAATTACTATTTTCAGTCAACGTTTCTCTATCTATTGAATTTAAATCCAGCATATTAAACTCAGAATCGTTATTATATTTGGAGTTATCAAGAATTAAAGAGAGAGGTGATCTAATAAATGCTAATTACAAACTACATGATCATCTTTTTGTCCTACAATATCATTAAAAGAATAGGAGGCATGACATATAAAACTATCTTTTTTTAAAGCTTTATTATTATTAGAAAAAGAAAATTCTGTATCAATATCGAACATAATTTTGTTGACAAATTTAACTATTTTTCTTCTCTTTGACCAATAAGATTGCACAGTATCCATGATCTGTTGAAATCCCTTTTTATATAAGTTATATAAACTTTAGTAAAGCTATAATGATAAACTAAAACTATGGAAAAAAAAAAATGTGTATAATTCATATATACGTATACTTTGAAATTGAATTTAAAATACAGTTCTGAATTAAATACAGTTCTGAAATAATAATAACTTATTTCCAACAATAATATTATTAATATTGGTCCAAAATGATTGCGTTAATCCGAAATGTATGCCATATTTAAAATACAACTTTATCGCATCTATTGGTATATATTTATTATATATTAGCCAATATTGGCCCAATAAATTCCCAAATAAGTCGACCAGTATTTAGGCTTCTATATCAGCTGCAAATGCAAGCGACAAACGCAAAGCCTCAGCAATTAAGGCAAAACAATAGCATACAATGGCCCGTTTTATATGTTCAAAAAAGTTATTGGCCCAGTAAAGGGCCATCGTACGGTGTTTACTGGGTTGCGTTCTAAAAGTTTATATTCATAATATGACATATTAATAATATTAGATTATAATATGATATTTTAGTTGAATACATATTTTATAGTAATATCATGTAAATGTTTTTAAGTCTTGTTTGATTATCTTAGTATTCCCACCAAGCCCCCTGCCTTGGGGCTCTTGGTTGAGTAAACACCCCCTGCCTTGGGGCTCTTGGTTGAGTAAAGGCTAGAGATGGTGTCTCGATAAAAATACTCATCTTGGGCAGATGTTACATGCATCCAGCTGCTGTCTTGTAGAAGGCCTCCTAGGCAAAGACTTAAGGGGTAAACAGATTCTATCTGTTGACCAGCTTCGCACCCCTTCCTCATCTATTAGGCTGGCGCAGATGTATTTTTAATACATTGTTTCCAGTTTAGGATGTTGAACGCTGGATCTTCTTGACTCAATGCGTGGGTATTGCTTGTGTCTCTATTTTTATGACTGGGCAACTCATTCTATTATCTCCTAATGAGGGTACAGCTCTAAAACTCAGTTTTATGGTTCTGAGGCCGGCTGGTAGTCAGGTTTCCCGAACTCTGTGGTAGCTCTCAGAGAGGCTGATTCCATCAACAGCTGAAAAATATCAGAGTACTAACAGTGCCATGTTGCGCATGGATGGTGTCCCTGTTTGTACTTTTGGTGTGCATTGCAGAGGCCACATTTGGAGCCCTTTGTTACGGCTTAGGGTTTATTAATAGTAATGAGGCTATTGCTTAGTTGTTAAATAGTGTACTGAGTACTATCTATACTTGAGTCAAGTTCTTTATAAATTTAAAATGACTAAAGTACCTAAAACTAAAAAACACAAAAAACCATCGTCATCACCAAGTTCTCTAAACCTATCATTTACTAATATTCGTGGTCTTCGAAGTAACTTTTCTTCTGTTGAGTCTTATCTCTTGCAAAGTTCACCAGACCTACTTGCTCTTTGTGAGACTAATTTGAGTTCGGCTGTCCCATCTTGTGATCTTAGTGTTGATGGTTATCTTCCTTTAATTCGTAAAGACTCCAATAATCACATGCTTGGCCTGGGCATCTACATTCGTAAGAACTCACCCATTTGTCGTGAAACTAGGTTTGAATCTACAGACTATTCATTTATGTGCTTTCGTTTAGCACAACTTCACTCAATCGCCTTTCTCTTTGTTCTATATCGCTCTCCTTCATCCCAAGATTGCACTATTCTTGATGTTATTTCTGATCAAATTGACCAAGCCCTCTCTCTCTATCCATCGGCCAATATCGTCGTTGTTGGTGACTTTAATGCCCATCACACCGATTGGCTTGGCTCTACTGTCAGTGACTCTGCTGGCGTTAAGGCCCTCAACTTTTGCCTTTCTCAATCTCTAACTCAAATAGTCAACTTTCCAACTCGTTTTTTAGACAACCCTAATCATTTCCCTTCTCTACTCGACTTATGTCTTGTTTTGGATCCTAGTCAGTGCTCAATTTCTCCACATTCACCCTTAGGTACTTCTGATCACGGTTTGATCTCTCTAAAACTATTATCAAATTCTTCTACTTCATCAGAATCCCCCTATCATCGTACCACATACAACTACCTTAAAGCTGACTGGGACTCTTTCCGTGATTTTCTTCGTGATGGCCCTTGGGTAGAAATCTTTCGTCTTCCTGCTGACAAATGTGCTTCTTACATAACTTCGTGGATTCAGGCTGGCATGGAATCTTTTATTCCCTCTCGACGATTCCAGGTCAAGCCTCACTCTTCTCCTTGGTTTTCCTCACATTGCGCTGCAGCAATTTTTAATCGAAACCGTTACTTCCATATCTATCAGCAAAACAATTCTCCAGAAAACAGACATCTGTTCACTATCGCCAGAAACCATTGTAAAAAGGTTTTGTCTGACGCCAAAGCTCGCTATTCCCAGGTCATTAAATCTCGTATCTCATCACAAAAATTAGGCTCTCGAGACTTCTGGAGAATCTTTAACAGTATCAATAATAAGGGCAAATCTGTTATTCCTTCTCTCTTGTATGGTTCAGACTTTGTCACCTCACCTAAAGACAAAGCTGAATTGTTTGCTAAGAACTTTTCATCAATATCATCTCTTGATTCCACTAGTTGCGTTTTACCTGACATAGCCGTCAAACAGGTTGATCCCTTGCTTGACATTCGCATTACTTCAGCTTCTGTATCTAAAGTAATTTCCTGCTTAGACTCTTCAACAGCTTGTGGTCCTGACAACATTCCTGTTGTAGTCTTGCAGAGGTGTTCTCCGGAGCTTTCATCCATACTTTCTAAACTATTTAACAAGTGCTTATCAGAGTCTTGTTTTCCATCATGCTGGAAAGCAGCATCTGTTATCCCTATTTTCAAAAATTCCGGAGAGCGATCTGATTCATCTAACTACCGTCCCATTAGTCTTCTTCCTGTCATAAGCAAGGTTTTTGAATCTTTAATCAACAAACACTTAATCTCTCATCTTGAATCAAATAACTTACTTTCTGATCATCAATATGGATTTCGGTCTTCTCGTTCTACAGCTGATGTGCTAACAGTAATAACCGATAGGTTTTACCGTGCATTAGATAGAGGTGGAGAGGTTAAGGCTATAGCACTTGACATTTCTAAAGCTTTTGATAAAGTTTGGCATGCTGGTCTTCTCCATAAGCTTTCTTCTTATAGTGTAGCTGGTAACGTCTTTAAGATTATTGAGTCCTTTCTTTCCAATCGTAGTATAAAAGTTGTCCTCGATGGACAACACTCTTCTTCACATCCTGTAACTTCAGGGGTTCCTCAAGGTTCAATCCTTGGCCCTATACTCTTTTTAATTTACATTAACGATCTTCCAGATATTCTCTCATCTAAGGTGGCATTATTCGCTGACGACACTACCATTTACTCTTGTCATGATAAGAAGCCTACACTCTCTGATTGCTTGGAGGGGGTATCTGAGCTTGAAAAGGATCTCACTTCTGCTACAGCATGGGGCTCACAGTGGCTGGTGAACTTTAATTCAGATAAAACTCAATTTTATTCGGCCAATCGTTATCGTAATAATTTAGATCTTCCTATATTTATGAATGGTAATGTACTAGATGAGTCATCTACCATTCATCTTCTAGGATTAACTCTTACTTCTGATCTTTCTTTTAAACCGTATATCAAATCCATTGCAAAATTAGCATCTGCTATGGTTGCATCTCTTTATCGAGCTCGACACTTTCTTACTCCAGATTCTATTCTCTATCTCTATAAATCTCAAATCCGTCCCTGTATGGAATACTGTTGCCACATCTGTGGCGGATCTTCTAATGATGCTCTTTCTCCTTTAGACAAGGTGCAAAAACGAATTGTAAACATAGTTGGACCTGCTCTGGCAGCCAATCTCCAACCTTTGTCACATCGTCGTAATGTTGCTTCTCTTTCTCTTTTCTACAAATACTATAATGGGCACTGCTCTAAAGAGCTAGCGTCCCTTGTGCCATCTACTAAAATTCATTCTCGTGTTACTCGCCATTCAATTAAGTCTCATCCTTTTTCTGTGACTGTTCCTAAGTGCTTCAAAAACTCTTATTCTTCTAGTTTTTTTCCTCGAACATCAGTTCTTTGGAATTCGCTTCCTTCATCTTGCTTTCCTGATTCATATAATTTGCAATCTTTTAAGTCATCAGTCAATCGTTATCTTGCTCTACAGATTTAGTCTTTTCTCGTCCAGTAACTTCCAACTCTTATAGTGGTTGCTTGCAGCCTTGTTGGAAGTGAAGATGTTAAAAAAAAAAAAAAAAAAAAAAAAAAAAAGCAGCCCTGTTTTTGTAGAATTAACCAACAATACAAACCGAATAGAAATTTTGAAAGCTGTTATAAAGGTTAAGACATTGAGTAATTTTTAAAAAGTATACATTAGTCTAGAATAAACTGAGATCAATAGAAAACAAAATAAAAAACTAGTTTTCAACAAAAAAAAAATGCAACAGAAAACTTGTTATAAAAAAAACTATCAACAAGCCCTTTTTATATTGTATTTGAGGAATTAGAGTCTGTAAAATCTGCATCAATTAAATTGACAAGAAAATACATATAAGTTGTTTAAAAAAATCAATATTCAGGTCTACATATACGTAATGACTTTGAATACTCAAAATATAATCAGTTCAAAATATAAATCAACAAACATTTTAAATAAATAACATGGAAGAAACAAACAAATTAGGCTTAGTGATATCTGAATCATTGAATAGAGTTTTTTAAGAAGAACTTAAACTATTAAATATTTAACTTTTTTTGAGTATCTCTTGAATATTTTAATATTCTTTTTTTGTTTATTTGCTTTGAAATAATAGAATTTTAAAGAATAGTTATAATATATATATTTATATATATATATATATATATATATATATATATATATATATATATTGACAATATACAAATTAAAAAAGTAACAGTAACTAATTTTCTAGGAGTTTGTTTAGATGAAAATCTTACATTGAAAAATCACATTCAAAACTTATCATGTAAAATTTCAAAAAGTATAGGAATATTGTACAAAGCGAAAAATGTATTAAATAAACATACTTTAGTACAATTATATCACTCATTTATTCATTGCCACATAAACTATGCAAACATTGCTTGGGGTAGTGCAAATAAAAACAAACTTAAACCTCTTTATTGTCAGCAGAAGCATGTAGCACGTCTTATATATTTTAAAGACCGTTATACTCATGCCACGCCTCTTTTATTTGAAATGAAAGTTTTTAATATATATGAGATTAATTTTTTTAATATTCTTTGTTTTATGTTTAAATGTAAAACCAATTCATCCCCGATTTCTTTCCATAATTTGTATTCATCAAAAGATAAAAATAAATACATTTTACGCAATAATAATTTTATTAAGCAGCCCAATGTTCAAACAAATCTTTTTAAATTTTGTATTGATTATCGCGGACCATTCTTATGGAATAAAATAGTTTTAAAAAATTTTACTGAGGATTTTATTAATCAAAGTAACTACTTTTCTTTTAAACAAAAGCTTAAAGAACTCATTTTTGCAATCGATGATTTAACAATATACTTCTGATATTTTTTGTGATCTTTATTTTTACCATTTATTTAAACATGAACATATAAAAAGTATATGTGTATCCTTAACAACTATAATTTTACATATATAATAGATAAAACGCATCTTATATTTATTATGGATTATTTTAAGTTTCTTACTTTTGTTAACTTATTTTTATTTTTTAACCTTGTAATTATCTTTTAAATTTTAACACAAACATTTCTTAGCGGTACTTGACGACAAGACCGTATGGTCTTCTACGAGTCCCCGCGTTCTTTTATTTTCTAATAACGATCATTATATTTATATATAAATTTATTATTATATATTTGCATTTGAAATATTGTAACGAAATGCTTATTTTACATGTAATAAAAGAACAAAAAAAAAAAAAAAAAAAAAAAAAAAAAATATATATATATATATATATATATATATATATATATATATATATATATATATATATATAATAGTTGTTCTTTTTGACTTTGAAGTTTATTTAAGTTTGTAAGCATAACGGGTTAGTAAACATAACCCATTATATCAGGTTTTCAAACATAACACTAACATAAGGCCAGATTTCGTGTTTTATAACAGATAATTACCGTTATTTTCAGTGTATAATTCGTATGAAAAAAATATAGCGGCAAAAACAGTTATGTTTTTTTCATACCAATTATAGATTGAACATAACGGTAATTATCCGTTACAAAACACGAAATCAAGCGTCAATTTTTTTTAAAATATAACGGGTATTTTTTAAACTGTGTACTATATACTTTGGAAACTTTTACTTTTTTGTTGTTACTTTTGTTAAATGCTTGTTTGAACTTATTTAAAGTTCTGACGACAAGATCGTTAGATTTTCTTACAAATACCTTGTTTTATATTTGTTATATTGTTCATCAAAAACTTGTGAAAGTTTATTTTTATTTATTAAATGTAAAAAAAAAATATTTATCTACCATTCTATATACAGGGTGGCCACGCCTCCTAAAAAAACCTAAATGATCCTAATGTTTAAAAGAACCTCCTTAGAGGGCTTAATTTTTTCTAAAGTATAGTTGATTTTCTCAAATACTCGTAAATTTTCCTAATGTATTTGTCCTGAATAAAATGTCTAAACTATTATCAGCCAATCAACAAAAAATTTATGAAATGGTTCAGACTTAGAGTTAGGAAAATAAATTACTCAAATGTATTTAATATTTTTGTATAATAATAATTCAAAATATTATATACTAAAAGGGTTGTCAGTAAAATGCGAGCTGCAAAAATGCAGTCTATCAAATAATTAAAATAAAAAATATTTTTTTTTTTTTTCATATTGTATTTGTCTAATTTCACTTAATTTACTTTTATTTTTTTTTTTAATTAATTTTTTCGCTTAAAGGTCCTTAAAATATACGGCTAAAATAACTATTTAACGGTAAACGATAAATAAAATACTACATCATTAACAACCAATAGAACGATGGTTCGCAAAAAAGTTCGCATTGTACCAGTTCGCAGATTGCGGTTCGCAGTTCACAATTTATCTTGTACCTTCTAAAAGAATTCAAGCTTTTTCTTTGTAAGTTCTGAATATCAAAATTATTTTTATTAAAATTTTATTTTAATTAAGTTGACCTAAAATAGATTTTTATTTTCAAAACAGAAAATATCAATTAAATATGGAAGTATAAAACAGATGGAAGTTCATCGAGTCGCAAACATCAAAGCAATTTCAAGTCGTCTCGGGAGTATTCTTGAAACCGACAATAAAAAAAAACAAGTTTCACTGGACAAAAAAACAGCAAAATTCACTGAAATGGTTTTTATTCAAACATCAAAAAATGAATTATTTTAGGGATATGCTGCAAACTTTTAACCATTAGTAATTGCAATTATGCAGCAAAAGGTTTATCAAAACTCGGTAAATAAATAGAACCACTTGATTTTAAAAGCATATGTTAGTTTAAGCTTCTTTTCTTGCTTCAAGTCATAACACGACATTTGATTAAAAAGACAAAACAATTTTTTAAAAAATCAAAAAAATTGTTTTCTAAATTACTAAAATTTAAAGTTTCATTAGCTGTATATAATAATCCCATTCATTCATATAGTACTCCATTTATATAATATGAAGTTTATAAAAAAGTTGTTGTTTGCCGTTTCGTTGCACCATTTTTATTGTTTATCTTGAATATTATTGGCGAACCTTCAAAATACTACATTTTTAAATTATTATAAACGTACCTATTTGCGTCAACGTATAAAAAGATTAGGCGTTTAAGTACAGTCTTGATGTCGTTTTCTTATTGTTTTCGAAACATAAGGTTACAAGCATAGTCCCAAAGAATTTCAATGCGGTTGAACTTCCATCTGTTTTAAACTTCCATGGTCAAATATAATGTTAAATTTTTAGAGCGGTTAAAAGAAAATAGTTATAAAAAAATTTATTTTTGGTTATGTCTTATGTTTTTGGTTATGTTTCATTTTTGGTTATGTATTATGTTTGGTTTATAAAAATATAACTTTGTAACATATTTGTTTTTTAAACTTTTTTAATCATCGCGCATTACAAAATTGAGAAAACCACCAGCTTAATGCTGAATATATATAATAAATTCTGCATTGTTTAATATTTTTTTCAAAATATATTCCGAATTATTTAGTTAAGATCTAGATATTGCTTTATATTTTAAGGTTATATCTGTTGCTCTCCAGTTCTGTAGCCATCGTTGGATTGAAAATTAGAAAGTAGCAGAGAGAGCTATAAAAATATGGCCCAAGAAAATTGTAATTATTGACCTTTGGAAAAATTTACTGAAAAGCAAGCAACCTGGTCAATCTAAGTCTGGGTAAAATACCATTTGTGAATATCTTTCTTCATGCTATAAAGATATATTAGTCCCTATAAAGTTGCAGTTTCTTAAAGAAATTGCAAAATTGTTAAGTTCTTCCTTGTTAGTTTTCCAAACCGACAATCTAATAACACCTTTTCTTTTGGAAACATTTGTAAACTTACTGAGACTATTTTTATCAAAGTTTATCAGAAAAGAAGTTTTGTTTGAAACATCCACAACTTTTAAATTATTAAAAGTTGATATCAGTGATATCAAAATTCAAGTACTGGTCAGAACTATTGATCTTGGGTTTGGAATAAAGTATGATTTGCAACAACTGAAATATAGAAAAAAAGTTACAGATGCAAAAATGTGTAATTTAAAACAAAAGTTCAACAATTTTTAATTACAATGTTCAAATATATGGTTGAAAAAAGTGCTCTTAACCATATAAACGATAAACTCATATTTTACCAGAGACTTAATGTGTTTATCTCCTTTGTACCTGGTGGAATCTCATGGGATGTGTGAACTTTATTTTGACAAGTTGTTGCTGAAATTAGTTGCTTATAAAAAGGTATCTTCAGCTGCTGATCAAACCAAATTGCAGTATTCACAATTTTAAACTACTGTTGTGAATATGAACCAGGAGAAAGTTTCTTAGGTTCAAAAAAGAAAGTGATAGATTTGATTCTTTTTTGGTTAAATATACAAATACTTCAAGATTCAAGGGTTTAATGAAAAGTTACCAACTTTTACTAATATTTTCCTTGGCTAAGCACAAATAGGATTTAGCATAAATGTCAAACTTCTGGATAATAATATTCTTACTGATACTCTTGTTGTGCAGAGAATTGTAGATGACCACATGTGCAGTGAAAATATAAAATCATTCCAATTAGCTTTGACAACTAAACTTATGGGACATGTCAAGGATGCACGAAGACTATACTTTACCAGTCAGAAAGAAAAGTCCCTAAAGATCTTAAAAACTGACCGTGATACTAAACTGAAAAATTAAGAGATTACTAGTTTTAATGAACAAATTCACCCCTTTGAAGGTACCATACTTCAGCTCAGATATGGTGCAGATGAGTACGCATTGCAAGTGGAAAAGCAGAAATCATTGATAGAAAGTCAACAATTCTAAAATCCTATGCGCTAAGGAGGGATGCTACTGAAAAGTAGGATTTACTAGAAAATATTACATCTCCAAAAAAAGTACTTATTACCAGGAGAGCTGAGATGATTATATTTCTAATTTGATTATTTCTTTTTATGACTGAATAATATGAAATATGAAGTTTGGTTTTTGAAATCTGCTGTTTGTTTTAATGATTTTCGTTATTTATTGTTTGTTACTTAGTTGTAAACTCATCTATTTAGTGCAATGTTAAATTTGTCAAATTTCTAATGCAAGTATGAAAGCGATTTTCTTAAAATTAATATTTTTGTATGTGTAGAAATGTTAGATTATTTTAAATTTTATCTTATTTATCTTAGCCAGGCATTCTTAAAGCTTTTAAATAATTAGAAAATATTTAAGTGTCACTTTATCTTTGATATTCTCCTAAAATCTCCAAAGACTTTTTTTTTTTTTTTTAATCCTCAGGTTTTAAGGAAATTTCTCCTTAAAAACCTTGTAAAATTTCCTAAATTATCCTATTTTTCCCGCCAAAAAAGTGTGGCCACCCTGTATATATCTAACTATAACAAAACCACAGAGAAGTTATTTTTT